AAAATTAAAATATATTATTTTATAATTTAAACTATTTTATAATATAAAATAAAAACATTTTTTTTAAACAATAAAACATAAACTTTTAAATAAAAAAAGACCTCAATATCAAGAACTTAATTAAAATAATTAAAATTTTATCTCTATACTTTTCATACTGCTCAATATGAAGGATTTAATCCTATCTTATTGTTAGTATTATACAATTTGAAATGGTTTAAATTATAAAATTTTTTTGTTAAAATTAATTAAAAATATAAATTTATATTTTTAAATAAATTATTGTGGGGGTGAAAAGTGAGAAAAAAAAGATAGAATGCCCAACTCCACTTACAAGATTAAGCAATAAGAATAGATTCACTTTTAAACCAAAAAAAAAAAAAAAAGAGGTAGAGTCACTCATAAAATGTGTGATATTAAATGATGTTAGTAATTTATTAATTTATTGTGTTATTTATAAATTTATTATTAATAAATTATTAATGTGTAAAATAATTATAGTTAAGATAATTTATCTAAATTAAAAATTTTATAAGTAAAATTATTTTTATTTTTATTTAAAGGAAGGTTTATTCTTACTACTTAATTTTAAATGAATGGGGGTACTTTTGTAAAAAATAAAATCAAATAAAATTTATAATAATAATAATAATAATAATAAAAAACTCTTCCGAAGCCAATGTCAAGTGACAACTTGAACCTGTCCCACAGGATCAAGGACCTTCGCCACTTTAAAGATTCATTCATCTCCCTTATCCTGACAACGATTTAATTCAGCGTCATGATAATTGTTTAAAAAAAAAAAAAGAAATGTCAAGTGACAACTCATTTCTGTATAGGTGGGTACGTACAGCAATAACTGGGCCCACTATTGGCTTCACGGGATTGTTAGACAATTAGAGTTGGCGACAAGTCACCATCTGTTCCCTATCTAGACACCAGTGGGCTAGCAATTAGCTTCACTGGATTGACTTAGACCTGGCAATAATACACCATCTCTTTCCCACCTACATAGCAAATTTTAAAATTCGGTATACTTCATCTATTGCCTAATAGGCAACGTGATTACCAGCCGAACTTCACCAAATCGACCTGATAGTT